AAAAAAAAAAAAAAAAAAAAAAAAAAAAAAAGAAACGAAGCCAGCTAAAAATTAGTCAGTTTAATTTTGACAAAAATTAACCATGCAGTAATGAATTACTCATTAGTGATGAGATAAAAAGCAGAATAAAAACAGTAAAAAAAACCGTTTTTTTTTTTTTTTTTCAAAGATAAAATTTGGAAGTTAAAATTATTGAGCGTTGACGTAGAAAGAAAGAAAAGAAAAGGAAAAAAAAAGAAGTTTCAGGAACAATTAATTTTAGAAGAATTTATAATACAAAGAAAAAAAAAAAAAGTTGAGAAGGAGAGGTAAAAGCAGTGGAAAGAGGATGATGTGCGAAAGTAACATAAAATAAAACTGCTGAATTACTTGGACTATGAAACGTGGAGCTGACGTAAAAAATTAGCAGACAAAAAATGACCATAGAAAATGTGATATTTATATATTTAATGCAAAAATGTGTATCAGTGGAACAACAAATAATCCGCACATTGCTGGCTGCAACTCAAAATTTACGCTATTATAGACAATAACTATCGACGACATTTACAAATTTTTTTTTTTCAAATATTCTGCTGCAATAGGTGAAATGGTGCTTTAATTTAAAACTGTATTCTTAGATATTATTCCATAAACTATACAGATACTGTTACAGCATAGTCACCGTGTATACCAACTGTACACTTACTGAACTATTGCTCATGTCGGTTCTCTTCGTTGCTGAACAGTCACTGTATTCAGTATCAACAATCTGATGATGTCGATCTTGTGTACAAAATGTAGTCGGTTAAAGGCCAAACGTTTAGGACGATGTTGAAGACGGACGGTGGACAACTGATTAAACTGGTGTCAGCGTTATTTTATCCATCATCAAAAATTCCTTTGACTAGTGGAGCTCTTCAGTGCTTTTCTTGTTCCACCTAAACTTTCTAATATTAATGAATTCAAAGAAAAACTGATTTGAAGGTGTAAAAAGAGGTGAAGGAAGATTAAAGTGCTGTAATTCAAAATAACAAAGAAATTAACATTGTAAACTCTGCTGTTTTGATAAACTTCAAAACTGATCAGATGTATCAGTAACTAAACTAAATTTGATGCCGTTTCAAATAAAATTTTTATCTACAGGTAACAACAACAAACAACTGTGAGAAGATGATTGAATTGAAAGTGTTACGATAGAAAGAACCTGAAAATGGCCAAAAAAAAAGCAAATATTAAAGCTAAAAAATTTTGGAAAAAGACGATTTATAGGATTTATGGAATTTTACATCTGTTCCTTTTTTTGGCTTAATTTCTTTCCAAATATTTCACGTATGATAAGGCATTGAAATAAAAAAGACGCTGTATCGGTCCGGATAATAAAAATACTTATAATGGCTCAAATTATTTGTAGATAAAAAAAATTTAATGAAAAAATAAAAATTTCTGAAAAATATTTTATCAGATAGTGCATAATATTTTGACACTTATAAAAATTTCATTCTTTATAAGCAATGGAAAAGCTTAGTTTAATATATCTGCTGTAGAACTGCTTAAATTCGTCGGCTGTCAAAAGATGATCATACAAAAACCTGACAGATGCAAATAAATCATTACACAAAGCTTTAGTAACTGCTTCAAGTATCACAACTGTTCACAGTGATGTAGTAAAATTTGATTGAAGGTTACCGAAGCGACGATAAATGCCTCGAGTTGCAGTAACGGACAATTAAAAGTCGCTACACTTATCATCAAGAGAATTATTAATTAATGTTATGCTAAACAGACAAAATTTGTCTTTGCCAATGATAATTTGTTTACATT